TATACTACCATACTACCATACTACTATACTACTATACTACTATACTACTATACTACTATACTACTATACTACTATACTACTACTACTTCTACTACTACTTCTACTACTACTTCTACTTCTACTACTACCACTACCACTACCACTACTACTACTACTACTACTACTACCACTACTACTGCTCCTACTACTACTACTACTACGACGACGACGACGACTACTAAGACAAGTATCCCAAACCCAAGCACTCAATTATTTGGTCCTTTAGACCATTTTGTGCAAGGGTTCTTGGGTTCAGCACTAAGCCCTACTTCCTACACCCCAAAACCTTCTGTTATCCTCTGCGCCTCACCGTCCGCTGTTTCGAAGGTCACGTTGTGTGTTTCCTGGTCTCTTGCAAGGGAGCTTGATACCAGGATAAGGAAACCCGATAATTTACTATACATCCCATTTATCGTAACTTAAAGTCTTACAGTAAAATCCTAAAACCTAAACCCCTAAACTTAACCCAAAGTCCTAGACCCTAAATCCTTAAACCTAAGCCCTAATCCCTAAAATCCTTATCAAGAGCTCAGCTTCTGTCATCTCAAGGACCTTTTCCCACCGGTCCAGCACTCCTGAGTCAACAAGGATGAGGGCTTAAGGTTTAGGATCCTCGTTAGTTGAATTGTAGATAGGGTTGCTGTCTCGAAATGGTAGGATCTTTTCTGGATTGAATCAGATTTACTGGTGCATGGATCATAAGGCGAGTTATTGCGATTCCAGCGCTGAACTCCCGTTATGCATGTCATGCAGATCGCTAAGGAAGGAGGCTGTGGGTTTCAAAGCCCAGCCTGGATTGATGGCGATTCGCGGAGCCTTCCGCGCCGGCATGGAGATCACCGAAACCTTGGTCTCTCGACCTATGCCCATAGGCCCCTAAGTAATTCCTTTTTGGGATTACCTTATAGGATTCTGAATATAAGCCACAAAAAGGAACTACTTAGGGGCCTATGGGCAGTCTCCATGGTGGTTTCTTTTTTGGTTGACCAGTCTGAAAACTAGGATCCTCTAGCACAACATTTGGTTAACTAAAGAAGGAACTACATACACTGGAGACTATAGCTATGATACTTGTAGCAAGAGTTCTTCCAGAAGTCAAAGATGAAACGACTGAGAATCGTCAGAACAAAAACTATTAGCAATACTTTTGCTACTGAGGCTATTATTGCTATTTATATTGTTCGCGTGAGTGCTATCGCTATTATCTTTTTTGTCGTGATTGTCATCAGTATGATAGAAAATGCATAATAGGAGTGCTAGTAATTTAGTGGCGGCCCCGTCCGCTTGGCTGCTAAAACCACCGCAACAACCGCCGTTTCTAGATTTAGAGCTTCGCTTCAGGATTGGGGTTGACCATAAATCCGAAAATAGGGTTCGAACACACACGTAAAAGTCTTCCTAATGCACTCCAAGAGGCAACTGCCTCCAAAAAGGTACACTCATCTGGAAAGTCAACGCCGCTGCCCATCAAAGCCTCGCGCAAGGCCAGCGCAAGGGATAGGGCCGTGTGCCCCGCGCACTTGAGAGTGACGGTCGTGGTTTCCGGCCGGTGCGTCTTCCAAATGTCGAAGCGATTGGCATTGCTCGGAGCCTTCTGCTGAGGATCTGCACCCATTTTCAGCAACCAGCTAAGTATCTCCAGAATGTTGTCATGTAGCTCAGGACGGGTGACACCATCCAAGATTGCTGCATGCAACACAGGTGTCTTGTAGGGGCTGTCACAGAGACTCCAGTCAAAGCATACCGGAGTGAAGCGCTTCAAGGCCTCGATATCTCCCAACTTGATGAGACCACAGATAACACTGCAGTCGCTTCCCACCGACATCGGCTGGTGTTTCAGCAACGGCGGCGTTGGCTAGGTGGCTTTCTCGCATTGTCTGCGCTACTAGTATGGGGTTGCAATTGCACCTAGGAGGCAACTTGCTGCCAAGAATTACGAACACTCTTGAAAGTATTCACAGCACTGCCGCAAAGTGAACTCCGAGCATCGTGAAGGCTACACAGCACTGCTGGAGCCGCCATGGTATCCCGACATGCCCGGTTACTGATGTCAAACCTTTCCAAAAACCCAACATGCCATCATTACGGGCATTCCTTAATTCAATCATTGTTGACCCCTGAACCCCTAAACCCCAACTTGGCAAATTTATGTATATACATATATATATGTATATATATATATATAGAAATAACACCACCGGGAGTCATAACAGCTACCAGTTAAGACAAGACTCAACTTCCCAAACTCCGAAACCCTGCAAACAGCGAGCCGAGAGACTTCGATGCCATCTGCCGGGGGGACGTTCCAACGACTCGGACCTCTTAGGCTTTAGGGCCAGGGATTAGAGATTTAGGGTTTAGGGACTAAGCGTGATCTGCGGCTTTTCGGCTTTGTAGGGTTTTGTGGACTTGCGCATACGGTGGTGTCCGACTCCGTGGGGTAGGCTCTGAAGGTTCAACCAGGGCCTTTGGTGATCGTGTTTCCATTGGCTCCTTACATTTGGGCGGGGGTGCCCTCTGATACAAGTACATCCCAAATATAAGAGACCTCACAGGAGGGGTCATGAATCCGACCACCCTCATCCCACACGTTCAGGGCCCGATGGTCGCTGTTCGGGCTTCGGACTTCAGGATGCTGCCAGGGTCCCAGAGGGCTTAGGCAAGTATACCTTATATGGAGTTTAGAGGGGTTCTATACCCATGGATTGGGGTTCTACAAGGGCTCTTAATGGTGATGAGTGCTTTTGATTATTAGGGCGGCTTGGGAGCAAAAGCATCGAAGCGCTCAACTCTCTAAACCCCCTCCAAAGCCCCAAACTAAAACTCCTCGAAAGGACCCGAACCCTAAACCCTAATTTGAGGGCCATAGCAACTTGAACAGAAGGCCGGGAGAAGATGGCAGCCGAGCCATAAAACGAGCATGCGGTGATAGTACTAATTGCATCTTCGGGCCTCCATCTTATACCCCGAAAACCCCAAACCCTTAACCCTCAAACCTAGACTCCTAAAGGCCCAGACCCTACTTGGAGGTTCACGGGTAGTTATAAGTGGGGTTATAAGTAGGGTAACCATAGCTATAACCCATATTAAGGGACTTATAACCCTACTTATAACTACCCATGAACCTCCAAGTAAGCACTATACCCCCTACCCCACAGTTATCTTTTGCGGCCTCTGCCGGGCTGTCTTGCGCCGGGGGGAATGCAAGTTCACCCGCGGGCGACGCTTCCTTGCAGTCTATGTGCTGGCTCCTCTAAGGATCCATTAACTGTACTTTCGGGTCCCTCAACCCTGAACCCTGAATTTCGCGTTCTAGACTGGGGTTCCCTCTCAAGGAACGTTATAACACTTAGGGGAACCCGAAACTCAAAGCCCTCTGAGAATCTCCACAACATGTGGTAAGACCTGTTCTAGACATGGCCTGGGGAGCAGGATGGGCACGGTCCACACCTGCGACCTCCGTCTCCATCTCTGTATCTTCTCCCCAGAGACTCCCAAACCCCCTAATGAAGCAAATATACCTTAAATCTTATTACGGTTCCTATTATAATATAAGGTATATTCCTGAATTAAGGGGGTTTGGAGTCTCTGGGCCTTTTTTTTTTAATCTTTGTGCGAACTTCTGTCCCTCTCTCCCGCTATCCCTCTCTCTCCGGGCTCCTGGGCGTGGGAAGCGCTTTTAGGGTTTAGGGTTTAGGGTTTATGTCTCTGTCTCTGCTCGCTCACTGTTGCTCACTCTGTCTTTACTTGGGAGCGCGGTCCCGTCTCACTGTCCGTCTGCAGGAAGAAGCCTTCCTGAACTCCGCAACCCCGAAACCCTAAATCCCCAAAACCCGAGCTAAATTCCAAAACCCTAAATCCCAACACCCTTAATCCCAAAACCCTAAACCCCAAGACCCTAAATCCCAACACCCGAAACCCCCAAAACCCCACATCCACGACCATAAGCTTCAAAGCAAAACCCGTGACGCCCGGCAGCCGAGTTCCTCTTTGAACCCGAACTCCCAGAATGCCCCCAAATGCTACCCGCTAAACACCAAACTCCGGTTTAGGGTTCAGGGTTTAGGGTTTAGGTTATTATATGAGTAGCTCTCTAAAGTAGGGTCCCTTCTAGGGTCCTTGTTATAAGGATGGGGCCTAAAAAGGGACCCTAATTAAGAGAACTTCCCATATCATGTTCTAAAGCACTAAAAACCAAAACACCAAGCCCGAAATGCTCAGAACAACCTACCCTAAACCCTAAACCTCTAAACCTAAACCACGAAACCCCAAACCCTTAAACCTTGAACTCCTAAACCCTACATCCCTCATACCCAAACCCCTAAACCCTAAACCCCTAAACCCCTAAACCCCGAAACCTTAAACTTAAACCCTACACCCCGGAAACCCCTGAACTGAACCCTCAACTAAAAGAACCTGCTCCCACGAAGCCCAGGGATCGATACCATGCACAACCCTGCACACGTAACAGGCCACGAAACCCATAATATAGGGGGGCCTTAAAAAATTAGCATAGGGTTTGGGGGTATACTATACAATAATTATAGTAAGGAACTCCCGAAACCCTATTCTAATTATTATAAGGCCCTTACATTACGCCATATAGGCGCCCTAACAAGTCGAACAGCCTTGTAGGGTTTAGGGTTTAGGTTAGGGTAGATGTTACTATGTAGTTATAATGTAAAAAATATCCTTCTAGGACATATCGGGCTATATTGTACTATGTAGCTATAATAAGAAATTAAAAGGAACCCGATGGGTAGTATTGCTTGTACATTGACCCCAAACCCCACAGCTCATCACACTGAACTACTACTCGAACCCTACACCGCCTAGAGCACAGGAGCGCGACGTCTTCCAAAAAAATAGGGTCGAGGGACAAAGGCGGCAAATGCCGCGACGAGGAATCGGAGGAGGAGGAGTCGCTGGAGTGGTCGGAATCGGAGTCACTTGACGAGTGCCTGGGATTAGGATGTTGGGGCGGGTTCAGGGTTTTCCATGTGCACATAGTATCGTAGGGCTTGAGTAGGATACCCAGCAACTCGAAGATTTTGTTGAGATCCATGGCTGAAAGATGATACAAAGGAAAATCGCGACTGTCTCCATAGCAGGTTTCGCATCTGAGGACCAAAGGCTGAAACTGCAAACTCCAATACCCAATTGGCTTCACACATGACCTGCATCTGTACAATTATTTCTGTGGCCGTTGGGCCGTTGAAACACAACAGCATTACCATTACAATGAACAGTGTGCTGAGTACACTGCTGGGTGAATCTTGCCGGAAGTATGCACCCCTTTACGGCCTAAATGCTCCACGTACTCCAGCGCTGTGTGTTGGGGACCAAGAGGAACCAACATCGAAAAGTAAGTCCCTAAACCAACCCTAAACCCTAAACCGGTGCCTTGCGGCCAGATGTATACCACTTCAAACTCCGAAACCTGGCTAACACCCCGAAGAAAATTTAAAAGATTCTGAAACCCGAAACTGCCCTAAACGCTGCAACGCAAAACCCCAAAACGCTGAGCCCTAAAACTCTAAACTCCACAACCTCGAAAGGGGGGGTGGCAAAGTCAGCAAATAACGCACCCTGATATAGAACATAAATGTAGGGTCCTTACGTGAATTCCGAAAGATTAAGCAACTCTGTAAAACCCTGCCAAAACCATTAAAAGCAACCCTTTGAAAGCCCCCCCCCCCCCCTAACCCCCAACCCCCAGATAATGTACACCTTAACATTGTGATTTCCGAAACCCCCATTTCCGGCGAAGATAATGTACATCTTAACATTGTGATTTCTAGCTGAAAACCCCCCATTTCCGGCGAAGGAGCTCGCTACAAGACGGCACCGACTCCTCGTGGCTTCTCTGGCTGCTCGGCCAAAAGTTCGAATTTAGGTTTAGGCTTTAGGCTTTAGGGTTTAGGGTTTAGGCTTTAGGCTTTAGGGTTTAGGCTTTAGGCTGTAGGAATTAGGCTTATAGGGTTTAGGGTTTAGGGTTTAGTTCCCCAACCCCTCTGGCCTTGACGGGGTGTTATTACGTTGTCGACGTCCAGGATGCTCTATCATACCATCAATTGCACGCTTAAGTGGCTTCATGTCTTGTGGAATGACCATCATCTATCCACCTATGCATCTATGCCAATCTATGCATCCATCCATCCATCCATCCACCCCATCCAGTCCAATCCAACCCAAAAGAACCCACACAACCGAAGCTGACCTCACCTAGTTAGTCCAACCGAAGCTGACCTATCAAAGCATGTTGCGTCTGTCTGTCTGTCTGTCTGTCTGTCTGCCTGTCTGTCTGTATGTCTGTATGTCTGTATGTCTGTATGTCTGTATGTATGTATGTATGTATGTATGTATGTATGTGTGTGTATGCATGCTGTGTGTGTATGCATGCATGCATGCATGCATGCACCTATGTGGCTATGCATGTATGTATGCATGAATGAAAGTATGCGCGCATGCATGTATACAATGTACGTATGTTTGCATGTATGTTGGTTGGTTGGTTTTTTGTAGGCATGTATGTTTGTACATATTCGTATACAGATACTTATCGTAATCGTTCTTATTATATGCATAGAGAGAGAGAGAGAGAGAGAGTGAGAGTCTGTGCACCTCAGAGTTCTGGCATGAGAAGCAGCCTAGTGGACGGTGGAAGTGCACTAAACGACTAAGCCTTTACTTCAAGGTTCATCGGAAAGCAGGGTAAGGCCGTATGGCATGGCATGTGAAACGTTCGTAATCATATATCGGCGGATACTCACTTTTTGGGTTATAGTGTTCTACTACAATATACCCGCAAACCGCATTCAAATT